TTAATATCTCGGAAACGTAAGTGAAGTAACATGTGGTACAAATTTATTTTATCATAAGTTACTAATTTGTTAATATTTGTTACATACGAACGAGTAAAAAAACTACTCGCTTTTTAGTTTGAATAATCAATGTCAAAAACAAATAAATCCGTTATTAAGAAAGGAATAAGAAAACGAAGCTTCGTTTGGACATATTTCGAAATGGACCAAAAGAATTAAACAAAATGCAGCATATGTTATAAGATTTTACCTTACAACAGTTCGACCAGTTCAATGCAATCCCATTTATCAATTGATCATTGCATTAATTCTAAAATATCTAAAAAATCAACAACTTTACTCAACGATGACGATATATCCGATATTGAGAGCGGTAATGAGAATGGTTTTGAAGAGACTGGTCATAAAAAATTAAACAGGTTATTGGTGAATTTTATTGTTGGTACCGATCAGCCGATTTCGATAGTACGTCATCCAGACTTTGTAAACTTAGTTAGTGAGTTAAACAAAAGCTACAAAATGCCTTGCATAAATACGGTGAGCAAGAAATTAATTCCATCAATTACGGACAATCTTAAATCAATTTTAATGCTAGAATTGAAGGGATGTCGTTTCATTACAATTACTTGTGATAGTTGGTCATTATTAGGTAAAAACAGCTACCTCGGTGTGACTTGTCATTTTATTGACAAAAATATGACTCTAGTTGACCGAAACCTGGATCTTAAGTTTATGTCTGAAATGAAAACAGCTGAATATTTATTTAATACGTTAAACGAAATCTTCAGTGAATGGTCAATCAATAATAAGATTTTTGCACTAGTTACTGACTCAGGTGCAAATATTTTCTCTGCAGTAAATAAATTTGATGATAATGTTCTTAAGATTCCATGTGCTGGTCATCGTTTGAATCTCGTGGTTAATGATCTTCTAAACGCACGAGATATAAAAGTAAAAAAATTTAAAAATGGGTCAAAGCGTTACCAAGTAAAAGATTACGACGGTAATGGAAAACTAATTAATAGAGAAATTACAGAAAGTGAAGTTAAAGAAATTGAAAAAATTAACGAAGGCAAATTAGAAATCGCCAAGGTAATTTCATCCTGCAGGCACATTGTTGGTTCATTTAAGCATTCAGAGATGTTACAAAAAAAGTTAAAAGAAGTTCAAGAAACACTTCGTTATGAAACTAAAATAAAGTTAGTACAGGATATAGCTATTCGCTGGAATAGCCAATTCGATATGATTGAATCTATATTAACAAATAAAACTGCATTGGATATGATAAGCATCGAATTCCAAAATATAAAAGACTATCTTCCCACTGCTACTGAATTTAAGGTGCTGGAGGATTTGTGTGATTTGTTACACCCAATTAAAGAGCTAACAAAACTTTTTAGCGGAAAGAAATATGTTACAGTAACATTCCTGTTTCCAACACTGTATTCTCTACTAAATGAAATACTTGAATCGCAACCTATTTTTACAGAACTAGTTAAGACTTTTCAAAAGGAATTATTAAGGTCTCTAAAAGGACGTTTTAAATACATTTTTGCTAATGATTTTTTTTTAGCAGCTACTTTTCTTGATTTCAAATTTCGTAAATTCGAGTTTATCAAAAATGATATCTATAGATATGAATGCAATTCAAAGGCAAAAATGTTTATAAAAACATTTTATGAAATGCATCTAAAAGAAACCGAAGAAATCGATATAACAATTGAAACAAATTGTTTAAATAACACTTTGAACTCGTCAAACAGCTCAGCTGACAATACCATAAAAACATTTCAGCAATTGTCAACGTCACCAATTGCAAATAATATTACTTTAGTTAACAACAAAAGACGAAAGTCAATCAACTTAATTGAACTAGTAACAGATAAATCTTGTTGTAATTTAATTGAGAGCAATGATAAACTTGAAAAAGAAATAAATGATTACAGTCTGCAATACTTTCATAGCTACGAAAATAGTGCCATTGAATTTTTCCAAGCTAATCAAAAATTGTTCCCGGTTTTGACACAAATTGCACGGATAATATTTTCAGTTCCAGCGACATCCGTGCCATCAGAATGCTTATTTAGTTCAACCGGTTTAATAGATACGGAGCTACGGAACAGGCTTGCGCCAAGCTTATTAAAGCAGTTAGTTTTTATTAAAGAAAACAAGTAATCAAAAACATTTCTTTATTAAAATAAAAAAAATTATTTAGTAAAAGTGTATTTTATAAATCTTAGTAATTTAAAGCACTTGTATTCTTTTTTTTTTTATCTGATAAACTTTTTTACAAACAGCTTAATTAATGACAATATGTTTTCTGCTACATTCTTTTCAATTCTGGAAAAAACACCAATATCCAATGATTGAGCTGCCGTCAGGGCAGGTGCAAGTAGGTGTGACGTGGTGGGGTGTCATTAAAATTTTTGTTGAGTAAAAAATTAGGTCTATGTTTTTTGAAGTTCGACGACTGACCTGTCTAAAAGGTCTACATTTGCCGACTTCTTTAAAAGGGTTATTTTTGCCGACTAAATGCACAAAAAATGCATTTAGGAAGGTGTGTGTGTAAATGATTCGTAAATTTAAATAATCTTTCCCCGTTATTGAATGGTTTAGAATTTGTAACTAAAGAGGACTAATTTCATAGCTTGTAGCAGTAGCATTTACTATTATGATATTGCCCTTTTTTAAGAAATCTTGTTGTCCAAACAACTAATTATAAATTGGATTGTTTTATCTTTCCCTTACTTGAGGAAAATCTTTATGAACAAAAAAGTGATTAGAAGAGAGTCTTTTTTTAACTTTCTAGGAGTGATTATAGATGAAAATATATCATGGAAATATCATATTAAATCTATTGAAATTAAAATATCTAAAAATACTTCAATGCTATATATAGTTAAACCTTAACTTTATTTAGCATAAAAAATATATAATTTTCTTAATACGGAGTCTTTGAAAATTATATATTTTTCATTTAGGGAGAGTGGGGCAAAGTGGGTCGAGTTTCTTTCTTTTTTAATTTGAGTGAAAGTTAAAATATATATTTTATGTTTGTCAAGGCTAAAGGATTGAGAATATGTCCTTCATGATAAGAAATAACTAAAATCTAAATATATATTATCTAACAGCTCACAGAAAGGTTTAAAGTGAGTTTTGTTAAGTGATTCACTGTACCCCAGTACTGGGGTACAGTGAAACAATTAACTCATTTGCAATTTAGTGGTAGTTAATGGGGGCGTAGCCAAATAATTTTGAGGATGAGGGTGTAAATACATTGTACACTATACTTTTGGTGCACTTTTGGTAACTAATATTAAATAATTTAAATTTTTTCTGATTGACAAAATAAAGAATAAATTTTATTGATAACAAAACTTATTCAACCATCTAAAATCACAAAAAAAAATTTATATTATAAAACTTATTTAACCAACAACGCAAGAAATTTTTTAAAGTGAATTTTTAATTTTTAATAACATTTTTATCACAGTGAATTAACCGTTTCACGGTACCCCGATTCATTGTGCCCCACTATAAAAAATAAGGTTCAAGTTTAATTTCTTGGGGCATGAGTTTTATTAAAGGAAAAGCAAAACTACTAAAATGAACCATAAAGATCAGTATTCCGAATATAAAACTTTAACTTATAAAATGATTTTAACCATGATCTCCACAACAAACATAAAGATGGTAAGAGCATTTACTTTAGTTAGCTAAAAACATAAATTACCTACCTAAAACCGAGAGTCAAAAATTATGTGGTAACACCTATAAATAAAGATGGGTGATATATGCGCACATAAACTTATTACATCATCGTGATGAACAAAATCATAATCTTTGAAAAAATGCTTCTTATTCACTGTGCCCCTCAATCCACTGTACCCTGACTTCCCCTATTCATAGTTTTTTTATTTATAAACTTAATATATACCAAGTTATGCTTTTTACGTTTAAATCAAAACATGCGTTATCTCCTTATATATTTCACTCTTACTTTGCAGAAATATCTCATTAATACCCATCTGATAATTTTGTAATTCCAAGATCTTATTAAAAACTCAATTCATTTCAAATTCAATACCGTGGACCATTTATATGGAAATGTTTTTAAAAAAACATTATTAAAAATAAAATTCTTCTAAGAGCAATTCTAAGAACATCTCCTTAGAATAATTCGAAAGAGAATCTAAACGTTTTCTATAAGAAAAAAATTTCAATATTTCTTTTAATATTTCTTTTAATAAGTTCGAAATTAATTTAGCTTACCAAATATCTATTGGTTTTTTCTCAAAATTAATTGCACACTTCTAAACTCTTTTTTTTCTTTCGATATTTATTTGACTTTTCAAAATACACTTTTTTTTTTCGAAATTAATTTGACTTTTCAAAACTCTTTTTTTTCTTTCGAAATTAATATCACTTTTCGAATTACATTTTTTTTTTCGAAATTAATTTCACATTTCGAAATTCTTTTTTTCCTTTCGAAATAAATTTCCTTTTTCGAAATCCAGCTTTTTATTTCGAAATTAATTTCACATTTCGAAATTCTTTTTTTCCTTTCGAAATTATTTTCCTATTTCGAAATCCACCTTTTTATTTTGAAATTAATTTCACATTTCGAAATTCTTTATTTCCTTTCGAAATTAATTTCCTATTTCGTAATCCACCTTTTATTTCGAAATTAATTTCACATTTCTAAATTACTTTTTTTTTTCGAAATTAATATGGCTAGTTCGATTATTATCGAAAGTTTTTTTAGATTTCGAAAAAAAAGAAGTATTTCGATAACGTTTTAATCGAAAATTTTCGAAAATTGCAATTTCGATAATGAACCCTAGAAAAAACCTATAAAGAAACAGTTCATGTTTTTTGCTTTAAATTACATACATCAGTTAATTGTTGATGTAACTTGTTGTAAGTAATACGTCACCCGTGGGCTTTATTTGAAGTCAAAGCGATTATACGAAAAATACTGATTAAAAAACTTGATTCATAAATAACAAAACTTGCAAAAAAAATTTACAATTCGATAAATACTAATAAAATTATTATTAACAAAACGAATAAAACAAATAAAATATTAACAACACAAAATAAAAAATTTAGCACAACACTTTAAAACAAAATATATTGTTCCAGTGAAAAGTTATGCTGATAAAGCAGTAGATGAAAGTGTTGAAGTGCTTACATTTCCACACGACTGATATACAATTGAACAAAACTTTTCTTTATAGTGGTTCTCACAAAATGATAGTAAACAGGGACAATTCTCTATAAAAATTGTATTCAAAAAAGTGAATAATATATATATATATATATATATATATATATATATATATATATATATATATATATATATATATATATATATATATATACATATATATATATATATATATATATATATATATATATATATATACATATTTATATATATATATATATATATATATATATATATATATATATATATATATATATATATATATATATATATATATATATATATATATATATATATATATATATATATATATATATATATATAGGGCCAACAATATGGGTTTTAAAGTGGATATATATATATATATATATATATATATATATATATATATATATATATATATATATATATATAGGGCCGACAATATGGGTTTTAAAATGGATATATATATATATATATATATATATATATATATATATATATATATATATATATATATATATATATATATATATATATATATATATATATATATATATATATAAAGGGTCGACAATATGGGTTTTAAAGTGGAGGGAGGCACAATCATCAATTTGTGAAAAAAGTCCTCTTATATCAATATTTTTTAATAAAAAAAACGACATTATTTTTTTTTCTTTAGTTTTAAATTAAATCTAAAGAGAAACTTATATTATATTCATAATACGCGTATTATTCTGCTTCTTTTGAGTACCTGGTTGATATAGTTTAGAAGAAAAAAAATTCCAACAATATTAGGGTCCGTCATAAATTTAGAACCCAAAGAGGAACCTCTAAAACTCATTTAAATTAAAAAAAAAAAAGTAAGGTTCTTTTTTCACCATAAGACATCGATTTGCAGCTCAGGCAAATCAAATTTTAATTTTTAATTCTTCATCAATTTTATTAGTATTTTGCAAATATTTTTTCACTAAATTTTTTTTTTTTTAATAAAATTATCATTAATAAAACAAGCATTTTTTTCTGCTTTTTTTGAGTCCAAGGTTGATATAGTTAAGAAAAAAAAAAGTTTAAAAATATTAGGATCCGTCAAGGATATAGAATCCAAAGCAAAGAAATTTAAGGTTTAAGTTTACTATCCAAGTACCCCAAAAATGTTAACAAATATAGTAAGTGGGACATCTGAAAACTTCATTTTCATATTTTAAAAAATCTGGGAGGTATCACATTTTTAGAAAATTGACATAAAAATCTGCTAAAAAAGTCATTATTTTCGTACTTAAAAAAACTAAATATATTGACGGAACAGTAAAATTAACAAAATATAATATTATATTCCAAGTTTTTATGCTCTTAAATTTTGTATTTACACATCAACTTCATTAGTTAGCTCTTAGATATATCTAAGTTGGTGAAAAAGGTTTAGATATGCTTGAATTTTATTAGGAACATAGTATGCTTTGTAAAGTAGAACATATTGATAAGTAGTTTAGTAAAATATTAGTATTGTATGCATAGTTGCCTAATAATCTAATATATATAAATAATAGTAATATATACTAAATAAAATTTTCCAAAAACTGTTTATACTAATATACTTTTAATGTCTTTTTGAATAAATTTACAAATTTTTTTAACTTAAGATTTTAATAATGTTTATGTTTTGATGTACAATTAATGTTCAATAACTTATAAATTATTTGAACTGAACACTTCAGCAATTCTTTTGCTTCTTTCTTTATGTTTGTTGCTGTACTGCGAGACTCCAAACCTGTTTATTACACTTTTCATCTTGGAATCGCAAGATTCAGATGTCTGCTCATTAAACTACCCAAGGAAAAGGCCACTCAAATCAACAAATATTTCCAGATGTGCTGTTACAGCATGTACTTTCCAAGTAAGCTTAAGCTGTTTACCTAAAAACTAAAAAAGCTTACTATAAATATGTTTATCAATAACTTGGTTTTAAATACAAAGGGTAAAGAAAACAGCAGTTACCTCTCTGCAATAGTCTTGCGCATCCTTAAAGCTTTGTATAAAACTTTCAATTAAAATTGAATAGTTTGGGTCAAGTTTATAGCCAAAGACACTATGAACAACCTTATTAAATTTTCTCATTGTTTCTAAGAGAGGATACAGTTCAACAGGCATTATCAACTTAAGTTTGTCGCAACTTTTAAGTATCTCTCTACACGTGTTTCCTTCAAATGTTCCTCCATGGTAACCTTTTCGAAGGCATCCAATGCTCTTGACCCAATCTATAAATCCAGGCCAAAGTTGCATTATAAATTCTGCCACATGGTTAACAAATTCCATCAGAAGGTGAAGTCCTGGTAATGGAATCTTTCTTATTATACTTAGGGATTTGTCTTCTATCATAAGCAGACAAGGATTAATGACATTCTAAATATATGGAAATAAATTTTTTTTATCCTTTTTAAAATGATAAAATTATAATGGATGATAAATTTTGAAAATATTTACAATATATTTATTCATTTATACCTTATATTCTTTCAATCTTTTCACCGGAGATCCTGCAGATGAATACAGTTCATAGTAACTATCCAAAGATTGAAATGTTCTTAACTCTCCAGAAAATAATTCTGAAGAACCTTCACACCATGCACAAGCATACTTTTCTCCATGAGCCTAAAATTTTTTATTATAATTCAATTTATAAATATATTGTAGGGTAAAAAAAACCTTTTCCTAATATAGTTTTTACCATAATATGTCTTATTATCTTAAAATTATTTAAAACAATCACACCGAAATTCCTAGCAATATGTTGATTAACTTCATGTCAGAAGCCAATGAGTACTTGCATTCATGCAACTTTAATCTTTCCACAATCATTGTCATGTTAGAATGATTCTCACTTACCCTTTTACAATAAGCTAAAACAAGTGACAAATTTGCTCCTGAGTATGATCCTAAGTAGCTACTATCTTCTGTCCTGTCCTTGGTTGGATCAAACAGGTTTACTATAACTTTCAGTGAACCTCCACCTATAAATATATATATACTTACACACATACATATTTGTATATAAATATGTACAAATAATATTTTTAAAAACAAGTTTTCAAAAAGACGATTATTAAAATATAATAAGTAATATAAATTAAATATAAATACCTGAATCTATTCCAACCTTTACAAATGTGTTTTGTGGAACCTGCCCTCGATATTTTATTACAAAATCCAGAAATTTTGTAGTATCTTCAATATATACCAAGTGTCTCTTCACTTTAGCATAGTCATTATCTTTTTCTTTTTATTGAAAGTCTAATAATTCAGTGACATAAAAGTTGGAAAGTAGTTTAATTTTTTTTCATCCAGGGCTTTCTCCATGTTTGACTCAAACTTTACACCACTTCTCCTCAAAGTTTTTTAACATTTCATTTGACTTCAATTGACTTAGTCCTAAGGTATTTACCAAAACTTCTACTTCATTATAAGGAATCCTTCTCTGGTCACTTTCCTGAGTACCGCGTGTAATATGAATACTTTTACCTCCTTAATGTAATATAAATTCTTATTTTAAGAACGTACATAACAGCTATTTACCTGTTCTGAGAATGACTTGAGCTTCTAGACTTTGCTCTTGATCAGAATAAATTTCTTTAAGAAGGGAAGAAGTTGTTCTTTTACTTTTTTAGAAATTTTAGAAATACTCTCAGAAAGATTTGTGCTACTCTTTAAAGGGGAACATTTTTGGGGTTTACCTTTAGCAATTTCACAGAAACATATTTGGCAAAGTTTCAGTGTTGAGCTAGTTCCCTTTTTCATACTTTTATTTAATAATCTATTTCTTCCTTGACTTGATTGCTCAATATTATGCATATATTGCATAATATTGAGCAATCTCTAGAGGTTTGCTAGACAAATCAGAATTTTTCCATTTTAAAGTAACTGTGTCTGCAATAGTTTTACCAGCCTTACAGAGATATAAGTTTTTCTTGTAACCTGGGCATAATCCTGTAGGGTAGGCAAATACTTAAAGTGAAAACTCAGGCTTACAGAAAACTTTTACCAGAACTTCCAAATTTTTATTAACTGAAATGCGTTTGTTGATCTTTTCAAGGCAGCAACAGCAAATGATCTTTTGAAAAAGTATATGATTTCTTTTAAAATGGTATTCTCTCTTCTCCTTAGAGAGCAGAGGAGCCATAGATTCAATATATTAGGTATCTTTAATAAAATTAAATTAAAAATGCATAGTCAAAAAGAAATATTTTCAATAAAAAATGTTTTTTGACCAACTTTGTGTATTCTAATAATGTTTATGTATAAATATTAAATTAAAGTCCTTGAAGAGTTGGTCTATGAAAAATTTTTAAAATAAACTTCAACTTTCTGTCAGTATAATTAGTTTTTTTAAGTACGAAAATAATGACTTTTTATCAGGGTATCTTTTAGAATTTTTACACATTTTTAGAAAATTGATGTCAATTTTCTAAAAATGTGATACCTCCCAGATTTTTCTAAATATGAAAATGAAGTGTCCAGATGTCCCACTTATTATATTTGTTAACATTTTTGGGGTACTCGGATAGTAAACTTAAACCTTAAACTTCTGACCTGTGAAAGAGGAACCTCAAGATCTCATCAAAATCAAAAAATATTTTTTTACTTTCATCTTATAATTAATAGACATCGATTCGTGACTCAGGAATATTGATTTAGAAACTTTTTTTTTTTGCTATGAAAATCGATCCACCCTAATATATAGGCTTGGTCGGGAAGCGAGTGCGATAATTGACCACGGAAATATTATTTAGTTGCGAAAAGCTGGCCAGATTTTTTAGTCGTTTTGAGAACATTTCAAAAAAACACAAAAAAGCGCATTTAGATTAACTGGACCGATGAGAGACAGTTAAAAAAAAGAAAAATAGCTTTTAACGCTAAAAAGCTTTAAGCAAAATAAATTTATTAAAGCAATTATTTTTGAAACGTCGCTCTTTTATAACTTTTTTTATAAAATTAAGCGACATTTTTTATATAAAGTTACAACTATAAAGAAACAAATGTTCTACGATTTATCAAAGAGTATATATAACTTTTATTTATGTCTTATTTCCAGTGCTGGATTGAGGAGGTGAGGTGGGTGTAGTAGGGCTATAGCCCCAGGACTCACAGTGTTAGAGGAAATAGTCAGGAGGACCATTCCGTATTTTTTTGAGTCATTTTTACGCAGCTATTATTGAAAGTATTTTCGTTTACAAAATCAATCGCACAAATTGCTTTAAAAGATTACATTTGAATAAAATACACATACATAAAAATTACATAAATAAAAATACATTACATACATAAAAATACATTACATACATAAAAAATACATCCCTTATATATAAAAAATAAGAATATACTAATAAAATCTATAAAATATTTACAAAACGTTGACAAGTTAAAAAATATAAATTTAAAACATTTATTATTGTAACCAAATAATGTTAGTTTAAAACATTAATAGCTTTGTAGATGTGGCTCCAAGAATTAAAATAGTAGTTCGTTTGATAGGATATTCTTAAAATAATTTATGCTAGAAAACTCAACAAAAACGCAACAAAATTTAAAAAATACAATTTTTAAAAATATTTCAACAGAATACTCAGGACATTCGGTTAGTATTTTTTAAATACTCTAGAAATTTCGGTTAGTATTTTTTGAACCAATAGAATTAGTTGTTCGTAGATTTGGCGGGTTTTTTGTGTTCGCGAATACTCTTTTTTTATTTTTCGAAAACATTTAAATTTATGTATGTTTCCATGTAAGTCCGTAAACAAAATTTACGATAAAATAAACTAATTTTTTTGCGGACAAACAAGCAAACATAGATAAACTTAAATGACTAAAAAACCTGTCCATTTTCTCGCTAGATTTTTTGGTCGTTTTGAATAAATATTATTTCCGTGGTCAGTTATAAATATATAGAAGTAAATATATTTCCGTGGTCAGTTATCGAGTGCGATCGCACCCGCTTCCCGACCAAGCCTATATATATATATATATATATATATATATATATATATATATATATATATATATATATATATATATATATATATATATATATATATATATATATATATATATATATATATATATATATATATATATATATATATATATATATATATATATATATATATATATATATATATATATATATATATATATATATATATATATATATATATACATATATATATATATATATATATATATATATATATATATATATATATATATATATATATATATATATATATATATATATATATATATATATATATATATATATATATATATATATATATATATATATATATATATACATATATATATATATACAGGGCAAAACGAGACAAGATACAAAAAGATTAATTAAAAACTATTTTTAACAAAGAAAAGAACAATTTTTAAGAGTGGAGGTTCCAAACCAAAGGATTAATAAAATAAAAATAAAACAAAATCGTTTTTCGGTACGACGTATTTATGCGAAACATCGCCTTTAAAATGAAATAAAATCAGGATGCAGATCTTGATGCACTATTAAAAATATTATAATTGCTTAGGGGAGAGCGGGGTTGGTTGTCACGCGGGTTGGTTGTCACAAAGTTTATTACAGGAAATGTAAATAAGATATAGAAATTTCAAATTATGCAATGGAAATGTTATATAAAAAAAACATTTTTACAGTAATTTTTATCTTTTTTTAGCGTGCAGAAGAAAAGTTATTCGTTTTTAAAGGTTTTTGATATGAAAAAGTAAAATTTCGCCTACTCAGAAATTTTCTTTTACCAAACGAACATTATTTTATTGTGTTTTGAATGTAGATTTATAAAGTACTTTATTCATTTGAGTAACTTAATCCGTAAAAAATTATCATGAAGTTCTCACGCTTTTAGGTAAATGTACAGTTGTCCAGCAACTTACTCAGAAGGGGTTGCTTGTCACAAAATATATGGGGATGGTTGTCACACTTGCCTCGACTCCATGCGCTGCAAATTAAACGCCGCTTGCAGATTTTTTATTGGCTTTGTTTATTTTCCGCATTATTGAGGAATATTTTAATGTTTAAGATATTATTTAAAAATCTAAAGTCAAAGTGTTATATTTGTTTAACTAAATATCTGTAATCTAAATTATTTTTATTTCAACGTGCATAACTTTAGATTCCGATCCAATGTTTAGTATAATTATAGAAAAAGGATTGCAGAAGTTCAACTTTTTATTGTTTTGTTTACAAACTAAACAACTAGCTGTTGTTTAGTTTGTAAAACTGTCTGTTGTTTTGTTTGTGCATTGTTTATATTTAGTGCATCTATTGTTTTGAATCATTTTCCAACAGCCGATCAAGAGAACAGTGGATTCAATGTCAGGTTTGCCAAAAACGGTTTGCCAAATAATTTTTAAAAAACCAAACCTAAAAACATTTATAGCGATAAACTAAATTTGTTAATTGTGTTATATTTAAAATATATATATTTCAGTTTATAGTATTTTATTTTTCTTTTTCTTAGTAAAACATAAACGAAATTAATTTGTACTCGTTTTACATTAAATTCTTATCTAAACTTGTCAAAATCCAAATGTGACAATCAACCCCGCACCATGTGACAACCTACCCCGATAGCGGGGCTAGTTGTCACACAGAAGTGGTCTTTGAAAAATGATTTTACAGGAATAAATATTTCACTCAATGTCATAAAAATATTATAATAGTTACTGGAAATAGTTAAACTAGCTTTGTGCAAAGTTTGGCATTGATTGGATAAAAATTAAAAGCTGAGCAGCCTAAAATGTAAAAAGTGTGACAACCAACCCCGCTCTCCCCTACTAACCGTATTATGGCCATACACTTCGAGTTGTAAGACTCTGGCTATTTCACAGACTGATAATGGATTTTATTTATGAAATATATATATTTTTTACGTTTTTTCTGTTTACTTTATATAACCAGGTTTACGCGCTGTGAAATTTTTTGCTAATGAAAAAAATTATCTGTATTTTGGACTTTTATTTTACGTAAATCAAGACTGGTAGCTGTGGCTTAATAGAAATCTCTACTAAACATCATTATACTTTGTATGCATAATTGCGGCTTCTTTTTAGTAACAGATAATAATTATGGTTGACAAATGTTGTTGGTTGTAGTCCCAGTTTTTTGTTTTCGAAAGGAGAATGATTTGAGAAAGTTACGGGTTAGATTTATTAACAGAAATTTCTTGACTCTCACAAAAACAGAAATTTTTATCAAATGATATTACTGAAGTTTTTAATTTTTTTACAGTTGCTGATTCACCAGCAGGATATTTGTGTTCTATAAAGAACACAAATATCCTTGTGTCTTAAAAAGCACACAAATATCTTATAATTGTGTTGTTTTCTATAAAGTTATTAAAAATGAACCACATAAACCTGAAGTTATACATAAAACTACATAAACCTGAACCTATAATAAACCTATATATAAACCAGAACTACATAAACCTGAACCTATTAGTATTAACTTAAACCTACATAAGAAACTTTTTTTGTAAAAATTTTCCTGCTTCCTTACCACTTTGATTTAGAGTTACGCACTAGTGTGTATGCAAACGAGAAATAGTGTGTTGGAAAATTACAATTCACATTTTATCATTAAAAAATTGTCTTCAATTAGCATTAATGTTGTGTAACACATTGTTGCAAACTTATCATTTTACTGCTAAGCATTTTACCATCAAAAACGTTATCACATTTATTTTTACGTTAAGCTCTTGCAATTCAAGATCTGTTGGAAGATAAGTACAAATTTATATAGTTAGCTTCGTTTTTTAAATAATCTGTTAGAATGAAGATTTTGGCAATACTGTCAAACGAGCGGTTGAAGATTCCTTGTCAGTTTGAAAGACGTTATTTATAGTGAGAGAAAAATTCAAATAAAAAATTTAACAAAAATTATTTATATTTTTAAAAATGATACCAATGCTGTTATAAAAATAAACAACATAATATATCCTTGATGGAGAAGATGCAAGAAAAAGATTTTGATTGTGTGAGTTTATTAAATGTGAATTTTGATTGTGAATTGCCAGTTATATTGGCTGGTTTTATTGTTTAAAAAATCGATTAAGAAGTTTGAAATTTGTAGCAAATTGCTTTGTACTCAACATTGTCAACAGGAGTCAACTGATTCAATTATTTAAATACATTGTCCAGAGCTATATATGATAGATCACTGTAACATACAGTAATCTGGATAGCAACACATTGATAATTTTACTATGTTTGATTACCTATTTAAAGTTATTTATTAAAGTTCTTGGCAGGAGATTAGCAGCCATTTTTATGTTCAAATTGTAAAAATTGTGGAAAATAAACAACGCACGATGTTTTTTTTAAATATTCATTTTTATAACACCAAATATTGAATCAGTCATCTAGTCGGCATAACTCAGAAAAAAGTTACGCTTTGTTTCTGCTGAATGTTTAAAACCTTTTAAAACAAAAATAACACGTTCCAAAAATGGTTTCCATTCCATGAAATAATTTATTATTATTTCTCAAAAACACTGATGTTAAAATACTGATTTTTTTTTTTATATTATACTAAATTTTCGTAAAGAATGTGAAACTAATGATAAAACAACACGACATTTAAATTTGAATTTAAAACCTCAAAAAACACGTCTTAAATATAAGTACAACTACCAGGGAAATAAATGCGTTTTTGGTTTACGCATGCATTGTGACAAACACGTGTCTATACAGGTTTCATTCCTGAAAGTGAAACTAGATGCTCCAGCTGGGTCAAGATAGAAAAATAAAAATATTTTATTTCATATTTTTAACCTGTTTTACATTTTTTTTACAATTTTAAAACTAATTTTTGAGAACTTGTGTATTTCTATTTCATGTACAGTCCTTGAAAGTTGCAAAAAATTGTCAGACTAATCTAACCCATATCTAAAATATGAGTTAAACTTGTGCAACCCTTATATAAGATATGAGTTAAACTAGATGAGCAAAATATTATCTTTTTTAAATCATAATTGAAAAACAAAAATCTGTGACTACTACTTTACAACAAATGTAATAAAAGAGATAACAGCATTTTATTAGCGGATCTATTAATTTATAACAAGTATAATAAGAGATAACAGCATTTTATTAGCCATAATAATCATCTATTACTTTATAACAAAAATAATAAGAGAGATAACAGCATTTTACTAACCATAATAAGCATCTATTACTTTATAACAAATATAATAAGAGAGATAACAGCATTTTATTAACCATAATAATTATCTGTTATTTTATAACAAATATAATAAGAGAGATAACAGCAGTGCATTTTGTTAACCATAATAAGTTCTATTACAAAAAAAAGGTTTAGTAAATAAAGGTTTGTGAAGTTTAATAAAAATTTATATTTAGCCAACACAAAAACTATTATCCTGACTTACTTAAAATTTAAAGCGAGACTTAAGATCATTAATTAAAATATTTTGAGAAAGTAAGACCATTCGACAAATTATATTTTTAATCTATACTTATTCTTTTTTTTTTTCGATTTAAGCAGAATAGAAGGCCGTGTATTTAAGTAGGCCATGTCTGTATAGTTCTTATAGTTTCGGCAAAATATATATATATATATATATATATATATATGTATATATATATATATATATATATATATATATATATATATATATATATATATATATATATATATATATATATATATATATATATATATATATATATATAATTAATAAATTCTTGTATCGATCACTTTCTTGATAAATATAAATCTTTTTATGGCTTCCAGATTGAATATTGAAAATAAAGAAAGTTTCCTATTGAATTGTATAATCAGTCAACAAAGTACATCAGTAAGAATAAAAACTAATATCCAAAATAGGTTTTCTGAATAAAAAATTCTAAAAACTCAAAATTTTGTCTTTATAGCTGTACTTTTGCGTTTCATATACTTCAAAATATCAAATTTGTTTATTAAATTTTTTATTAAAACAAATACATATAACTAAACTCAAAATACTGAAAATGTTAAATAGTACCCTTCATTTATCAACACTGTCTAATATGGCAAACTCTATGAATCTTGCTGTAAAATAAAAAATTTTACAGAGAAATATTTGTAAATTTATATAGAAATTAGTTAATTTTTAATAATTATGTTTATAATAAGACTTAATGTTATAGTAACCAAATGGAACAAAATTTACTTTTGTTTTACAGATTGTTAAAAGTTTTAATAAAAAAAAATCTTGAACTTATCATTTGTGATATTCATTCAATATAGTAAATATTTTTTTTATTAATTCCTAAAACTTTTTAACTTTCTTTATTCTCTTTTCTGCTTTAAGTTAGTTTCCTTATGTTTTCATGTTTGTTTTTTGTTATTTTTTACTTCTTAATTTTAAATGTTTTACATAAAAAAAAATTCTATGATTTTATGACTAAAATAGTGACACCTAACCTTACTTATGAAACTTTCAAGGTTATTATTGAAAATTTCAATACTATTTATATATATTTGAATTATAATAATAAAGCAAAACTAATAATCCTAAGAGTGCTCAATATTAAAAAGATTAGAAATAAAGCAATATACATATACGAGGTGTGTTCAAAAATTAAGGTGACTTAGTATTTTTAAGAAAAAACATTTATTTATCAATATTTATTTTGTCTCCTTCAAAGTAATCCCCCTCAGATACAATACACTAATGCCAACGGTTTCTCCAATCCTCAAAGCACTTCTCATTTTCGGTATAGCCTTGAGCTCTTCCAGCTATGTGTCTTTATTTCTTCAATCATTGCAAATCTCCATCCATTCATAAGTCTCTTTAGTTTTGGGAACAAGAAAAAGTCAAATGGCGCCAAATCCGTCGAATATGGTGGCTGAGGCATGATTTTGGTGTTGTTTTTGGCCAAAATATCTCTCACAAGCAAAGATGAGTGAGCAGGGGCATTATTGTGATGCAAAAGCCATGAATTGTTTTTCCCTAATTCTGGACGTTTTCTTTGTATTGCTTCTCGCAAACAGTGCATAACTTCAAGATAATACTGTTTATTGACCGTACAACCATAAGGTAAGAACTCCTGATGCACCACGCAATGGTAATCGAAGAAAACAGTGAGCAAACCTTTGACATTTGATCGAACTTGGCGTTCTTTTTTTAGTCTTGGCACACCTGGGCCCTTCCATTGGGACGATTGGGTATTGGTTTCAATATCATAACCATATATCCATGATTCTTCACCAGTTATGACCTAGTATATCTGGGTCGTCGTTGACGTCATTTAACAGTTCTTGAGCGATGCTCATGCGACGGTTAGTTTAGTCAAAATTGAGCAATTTCGGAACAAACTTCGCTGACACACGTCTCATGCCCAAAATGTTAAAGAAAACTTCATTGCACGAGCCAAGAGATATACCAACATCATCAGCAACTTCTCTGATTGTGATTCGACAAATTTTTAAACAATTTTCTTAACTGCTTGAACGTTTTTATCAGTTGCTGACGTGGTTGGTCATCCAGAGCAAGGCTCGTCATTGGCATCTTACCGGCCACCTTAAAAGAGTTTGTACCACTTGTAAACATTTTTTTACTTAGAACAGTTTCACTGTTCAAATCCTTTGATGCATATTTTTTGATAGTAAAAAATCGCCGAGCACTCAAAACACTTATAACCTTTACACTTCTCAGAACAAAACAAAAAATGCTATACACTTAAAACTTGGTACAGATGATCGGAAAGAGTGTACCAATATAACATAACCAAAAAATCAATAATCGAAAGTACTTTGTCAGCGAAATTTAAAAAGTCATCTTAACTTTTAAACACACCTCCTATAAAGATAAACAACAAAAAAAAAAAACTATATACAAAAAATCCTTTATTTTAACAAAAAAAAAAAGCTTGTTAAATAATTAAATAGAATTCAGGTGATCAGCTTATATTTTATTTTTCTTTGGTTGCTATCAAGTATGTTTTTATATATATATATTGTCTTTCTATTACATTTGTCTTTTTAATAAATTATATATATATATATATATATATATATATATATATACATATATATATATATATATATATATATATATATATATATATATATATATATATATATATATATATAAAAACTATATTAAACATCAATTTCTAATACAAAAAAAAGAAATCCACAAAAAGTTAAAACTCAAAACTAAAAAACCAACTAACCAGTTAGTGTTGTTGAAGATTCATTTGTTGTTGTTAAAGCTTCTGTTGTTGAAGGTATAGCTTCAACTGTTGTGGTTGTGGCTTCAGTTATTGTGGTTGGAGCTTCAGTTGTAGTTGTAGCATCAGTTGTTGTTGTTCTAGCTTCTGTTGTTGTGGTTATAGCTTCTGTTGTTGTGGTTGTGGCTTCAGTTGTTGTGGTTGGAGGTTCAGTAGTCGTTGTTTCAGCTGTTGTTGTGGCTTCAGTTGTTGTTGTTGTTGTTTCTGCTGTTGTTGTTGTTGTTTCAGTTGTTGTTGTTGAAGAAACTGTTAATGAGGGTTTAACTTCAGTTGTTGTGGTTGGAGCATCTGTCGTTGTTAAAAGTTCAGTTGGTGTGGTTGTGGCATCAGTTGTTGTGGTTGGAGCTTCAGTTGTTGTTGTAACTTCAGTTGTTGTGGTTGTGGCTTCAGTTGTTGTGGTTGTGGCTTCAGTTGTTGTGGTTGTGGCTTCAATTGTTGTGGTAGAAGCTTCAGTTTGTGTTGTAGCTTCAGCAGTTGTGGTTGGAGGCTCAGTAGTTGTTGTTTCAGCTGTTGTTGTAGTGACAGTTGTTGTTGTTGTTTCAGCTGATGTGGTTGGAACTTTAGTTGTTGTGGTTGTAGTTTCAGTAGTTGTTATTGTAGCATCGGTTGTTGTTAATGCAGCTTCTGTTGTTGTTGTTGAAGCTTCACTTGTTGTGGTTGTGGCTTCAGTTGTTGTGGTTGGAGCTTCAGATGTTGTTGTAGCTTCAGTAGTTGTGGTTGTAGGCTCAGTAGTTGTTGTTTTAGCTGTTGTTGTAGCTTTAATTGTAGTACTTATTTTAACTGTTGTTGAAGCTTCAGTTGTTGTTGTTAAAGCTTCTGTTGTTGAGGGTATAGCTTCAATTGATGTGATTGTGGCTTCAGTTGTTGTAATTGGAGGTTCAGTTGTTGATGTAGCTTTAGTAGTTGTGGTTGGAGGTTCAGTAGTTGTTGTTTCAGCTGTTGTTGTAGCTTCAGTTGTTGTTGTTATTTCAGCTGTTGTTGTAGCATCAGTTGTTGTTTCCGTTGTTGTTGATGCTTCTGTTGTTGAGGGTATAGTTTCAGTTGTTGTGGTTGAGGCTTCAGTTGTTGTTGTAGCTTCCGTTGTTGTGGTTGGAGCTTCTGTTGATATTGTTGTTGAAACTTCAGTTGATGTGTATGTGGCTTCAGTTGTTGTGATTGTCGTTTCAGTAGTTGTTGTTGTAGCATCAGATCTTGTCATTGGAGCTTCCGTTGTTGTTGTTGAAGCTTCAGTTGTTGTAAGTGTGGCTTCAGTTGTTGTGGTTGTGGTTTCAATTGTTTTGGTTATAGCTTCAGTTGTTGTTGTAGCTTCAGCAGTTGTGGTTGGAGGCTCAGTAGTTGGTGTTTCAGCTATTGATGTAGCGTCAGTTGTTGTTGTTGTTTCAGCTGTTGTGGTTGGAACTTCAGTTGTTGTGGTTGTAGTTTTAGTAGTTGTTGTTGTAGCATCAGTTGTTGTTGCTGTAGCTTCTATTGTTGTGGTTACAGATTCTGTTAATGTGGTTGTGGCTTCAGTTGTTGTTGTAGCTTCAGTAGTTGTGGTTGGAGGCTCAAAAGTTGTTGTTTCAGCTGTTGTTGTAGTTTCAGTTGTTGTTGTTGTTGTTTCAGCTGTTGTTGAATCTTCAATTGTTGTTTCAGTTGTTGTTGTTGCAGCTTCTGTTAATGTAGTTATAGCTTCTGTTGTTGTGGTTGTGGTTTCAGTTGTTGTGGTTAAAACTTCAGATGTTGTTGTAGCTTCAGTAGAAGTGGTTGGAGGCTCAGTAGTTGTTGTTTCAGCTGTTGTTGTTGCTTCAGTTGTTGTTGTAATTTCTGCTGATGAGGTTGGAACTTCAGTTGTTGTTGGTGCAGTTTCAGTGGTTGTGGTTGTAGCAGCAGTTGTTGTCGTTGGAGCTTCCGTTGTTGTTGTTAAAGCTTCCGTTGTTTTAGGTGTGGCTTCAGTTGTTGTGGTTAGAGCTTTAGTTGTTGTTGTAACTTCAGTTGTTGTGGTTGTGGCTTCAATTGTTTTTGTTGGAGATTCAGTTGTTGTTGTAGCTTCAGCAGTTGTGGTCAGAGGCTCAGTGGTTGTTATTTCAGCTGTTGTTGTAGCGTCAGATGTTGTTGTTATTTCAGCTGTTGTGGTTAGAACTTCAGTTGTTGTGGTTGTAGTTTCAGTAGTTGTTGTTGTAACATCAGTTGTTGTTGTTGTAGCTTCTGTTGTTGAGGTTACAGCTTCAGTTGTAGTGGTTGTAGCTTCAGGTGTAGTGGTTCGAGGCTCAGTTGGTGTTATTTCAGCTGTTTTTGTGGCATCAGTTGTTGTTGATGTGGCTTCAGTTGTTGTGGTTGGAAATTCAGTTGTAGTTGTCGCTTCAGTAGTTGTAATTTGAGGTTCAGTAGTTGTTGCTTCAGCTGTTGTTGTAACTTCAGTAGTTGTTGTTGTTTCAGCTGTTGTGGTTAAAGGCTCATATGTTGTTGTTGTTTTAGCTGTTGTTGTAGCTTCAGTTGTTGTGGTTATAGCTTTAGTTGTTGTGGTTATAGCTTTAGTTGTGGTAGTTTGAGGCTCAGATGGTGTGGTTTCAACTTTTGTCGTGGCTTCAGTTGTAGTGGTTGGAGGCTCAGTTTTTGTTGTTTCATCTTTTGTTGTGCCTTCAGTTGTTGTTGTTGTAGCTTCAGTTGATGTTGTTGGAGTTTCAGTTGTTGTTGACGCTTCAAAAGATGTAGTTAGAGGTTTATTAGTTGTTGCCTCAGCTGTTGTTGTAACTTCAGTAGTTGTTGTTGTTTCAGCTGTTGTGGTTGTAGGCTTAGTTGTTGTTGTTGTTTCAGCTTTTGTTGTAGCTTCATTAGTTGTTGTTAAAATTTCAGTTATTGTTGTAGCATCAGTTGTTGTGGTAATAGCTTCGGTTGTTGTGGTTGTAGCTTTAGTTGTAGTGGTTGGAGGCTCAGTTGTTGTTGTTTCAGCTGTTGTTGTGGCATCAGTTGTTGTTGTTGTAGCTTCAGTTGTTGTGGTTGGAGTTTCAGTTGTTGTTGTTGCTTCAAAAGTTGTAGCTAGAGGTTCAGTAGTTGTTGCTTCTGCTGTTGTTGTAACTTCAGTAGTTATTGTTGTTTCAGCTGTTGTAGTTGGAGGCTTAGTTGTTGTTGTTGTTTCAGCTGTTATTGTAGCTTCATTAGTTGTTGTTGAAGCTTCAGTTGTTGTTGTAGCTTCAGTTGTTGTGGTTAAAGCTTCAGTTGTTGTGCTGGTAGCTTCAGTTAAAGTGGTTGGAGGCTTAGTTGTTGTTGTTTCAGCTGTTGTTGGAGCATCAGTTGTTGTTAAAGCTTCAGTTGTTGTGGTTGAAGGCTCAGTTGTTGTTGTTTCAACTGTTGTCGTGTCATCAGTTGTAGTGGTTGGAGGATCAGTTGTAGTTGTTATATCTGTTGTTGTGCCTTCAGTTGTTGTTGTTGTGGCTTCAGTTGTTGTGGTTGGAGTTTCAGTTATTGTTGTTGCTTCAGCTGTAGTGGTTGTCGCTTCAGTTGTTGTTGTTGCAGCTTCAGTTGTTGTAGTTATAGCTTCAGTTGATGTTGTTGTTGCAGCTTCACTTGTTGTTGTTGTAGCTTGAGTTGTTGTGGTTGTTGGAGCTTCAGTTGTTGAAGTTAGAGCTTCAGGTGTTGTGGTTGTAGCTTCAGTTGTTGTGGTTGTAGCTTCAGTTGTTGTTGTTGCAACTTCTGTTGTTGTGGTTTTAGCTTCAGTTGTTGTGGTTACTGCTTCAGTTGTTGTGGTTGGAGCTTCAGTTGTTATTATAGCTTCAGTAGTTGTGGTTGGAGGCTCAGTAGTTGTTGTTTCAGCTGTTGTTGTAGCTTCAGTTGTTGTTGTTTCAGCTGTTGTGGTTAAAGCTTCAGTTGTTGTTGTTTCAGCTATTGTTGTAGCTTCAGTTGTTGTTGTTGTTTCAACTCTTATGGTTGAAGCTTCAGTTGTTGTGGTTGAAGCTTCAGTTGTTGTGATTGTAGCTTCAGTTGTTGTGGTTGTAGCTTCAGTTGTTATTGTTGCAGCTTCTGTTGTTGTGGTTAGAGCTTCAGTTGTTGTCATAGCTTCAGTTGTTGTCGTTGTAGCTTCTGTTGTTGTGGTTGTAGCTTCAGTTGTTGTGGTTGTAGCTTCAGTTGTTGTTGTTGCAGCTTCTGTTGTTGTGGTTAGAGTTTCAGTTGTTGTTATAGCTTCAGTAGTTGTGCTTGGAGCTTCAGTTGTTGTTATAGCTTCAGTAGATGTGGTTAGAGGCTCAGTAGTTGTTGTTTCAGCTGTTGTTGTAGCTTCAGTTGTTGTTGTTTCAGCTGTTGTGGTTGGAGCTTCAGTTGTTGTTGTTTCAGCTATTGTTGTAGCTTTAGTTGTTGTTGTTGTTTCAACTGTTATGGTTGAAGCTTCAGTTGTTGTGGTTGGAGCTTCAGTTGTTGTGATTATAGCTTCAGTTGTTGTGGTTGTAGCTTCAGTTGTTGTTGTTGCAGCTTCTGTTGTTGTGGTTAGAGCTTCAGTTGTTGTCATAGCTTCAGTTGTTGTTGTTGTTGCTTCAGTTGTTGTGGTTGTAGCTTCAGTTGTTGTGGTTGTAGCTTCAGTTGTTGTTGTTGCAGCTTCTGTTGTTGTGGTTAGAGCTTCAGTTGTTGATATAGCTTCAGTAGTTGTGGTTGGAGCTTCAGTTGTTGTTATAGCTTCAGTAGTTGTGGTTAGAGGCTCAGTAGTTGTTGTTTCAGCTGTTGTTGTAGCTTCAGTTGTTGTTGTTGTTTCAGATGTTGTGGTTGGAGCTTTAGTTGTTGTTGTTTCAGCTGTTGTTGTAGCTTCAGTTGTTGTTGTTGTTTCAACTGTAATAATTGAAGTGTCAGATGTTGAGGTTGGAGCTTCAGTTGTAGTGGTTATAGCTTCAGTTAATATGGTTGTAGCTTCAGTTGTTGTGGTTGTAGCTTCAGTTGTTGTGGTTGGAGCTTCAGTTGTTGTTGTTGAAGCTTCAGTTGTTGTGGTTGTAGTTTCAGTTGTAGTGGTTGGAGGCTCAGTTGTTGTTGTTTCAGTTACTGTTGTTAAAGCTTCTGTTGTTGTTGTTGCTTCAGCTGTTGTGGTTGGAACTTCAGTTGTTGTGGTTGTAGTTTCAGTAGTTGTTGTTGTAGCTTCTGTTGTTGTGGTTATAGCTTCAGTTGTTGTAGTTGTGGCTTCAGTTGTTGTGGTTGGAGCTTCAGTTGTTGTTGTAACTTTACTTGTTGTGGTTGGAACTTCAGTTGTTGTGGTAGTGGCTTTAGCTGTTGTTGTTGTTACTTCAGTTGTTGTGGTTGGAGGCTCAGTTGTTGTGGTTGAAGCTTCAGTTATTGTGGTTGTGGTTTCAGTTGTTGTTGTTGGAGCTTCAGTTGTTGATGTAACTTCAGTAGTTGTCGTTGTAGGCTCAGTAGTTGTTGTTTGAGCAGTTGTTGTAGCTTCAGTTGTTGTTGTTGTTTCAGCTGTTGTGGTTGTAACTTCAGTTGTTGTTGTTGTTGTTTCAGCTGTTGTTGTTGTAGCTTCAGTTGTTGTTGTTGTAGCTTCAGTTGTAGTGGATGGAGGCTCAGTTGTTGTTGTTTCAGTTACTGTTGTTGAAGCTTTTGTTGTTGTTGTTCTTTCATCTGTTGTGGTTGGAACTTCAGTTGTTGTGGTTGTAGTTTCAGTAGTTGTTGTTATAGCTTCTGTTGTTGTGGTTATAGCTTTAGTTGCTGTAGTTGTGGCTTCAGTCGTTGTGGTTGGAGCTTCAGTTGTTGTTGTAATTTCAATTGTTGTGGTTGGAAGTTCAGTTGTTGTGGTAGTGACTTCAGTTGTTGTGGTTGGAGCTTCCGTTGTTGTTGTTGATGCTTCAGTTATTGTGGTTGTGGTTTCAATTGTTGTGGTTGGAGCTTCAGTTGATATTGTAACTTCAGTTGTTGTGGTTGGAACATCAGTTGTTGTGGTTGTGGCTTCAGTTGTTGTTGTGGCTTCAGTTGTTGTGGATGGAGCTTCCGTTGTTGTTGTTGAAGCTTCAGTTGTTGTGGTTGTGGCTTCAGTTGTTGTGGTTGAAGCTTCAGTTGTTGTTGTAACTTCAGTTGTTGTGGTTGTAGTTTCAGTTGTTGTACTTGGAGATTCAGTTGTTGTGGTTGTGGCTTTAGCTGTTGTTGTTGTTACTTCAGTTGTTGTGGTTGGAGGCTCAGTTGTTGTGGTTGAAGCTTCAGTTATTGTGGTTGTGGTTTCAGTTGTTGTTGTTGGAGCTTCAGTTGTTGATGTAACTTCAGTAGTTGTCGTTGTAGGCTCAGTACTTGTTGTTTGAGCAGTTGTTGTAGCTTCAGTTGTTGTTGTTGTTTCAGCTGTTGTGGTTGTAACTTCAGTTGTTGTTGTTGTTGTTTCAGCTGGTGTTGTTGTAGCTTCAGTTGTTGTTGTTGTAGCTTCTGTTGTTGTTGTTATAGCTTCAGTTGTTGTGGTTGTGGCTTCAGTTGTTGTGGTTGGAGCTTCAGTTGTTGTTGTAACTTCAGTTGTTGTAGTTGGAACTTCAGTTGTTGCGGTAGTGATATCAGTTGTTGTGGTTGGAGCTTCAGTTGTTGTAGTTGAAGCTTCAGTTGTTGTGGTTGTGGCTTCAGTTGTTGTGGTTGGAGCTTCAGTTGTTGTTGTTGAAGCTTCAGTTGTTGTGGTTGTAGCTTCAGTTGTAGTGGTTGGAGGCTCAGTTGTTGTTGTTTTAGTTACTGTTGTTGAAGCTTTTATTGTTGTTGTTGTTTCAGTTGTTGTGGTTGGAACTTCAGTTGTTGTGGTTGTAGATTCAGTAGTTGTTGTTGAAGCTTCTGTTGTTGTGGTTATAGCTTCAGTTGTTGTGGTTGTGGCTTCAGTTGTTGTGGTTGGAGCTTCAGTTGTTGTTGTAACTTCAGTTGTTGTCGTTGTAGCTTCAGTTGTTGTACTTAGAGATTCAGTTGTTGTGGTTGTGGCTTCAGCTGTTGTTGTTGTAACTACAGTTGTTGTGGTTAGAGGCTCAGTTGTTGTGGTTGAAGCTTCAGTTATTGTGGTTTCAGTTGTTGTGGTTGGAGCTTCAGTTGTTGATGTAACTTCAGTAGTTGTCGTTGTAGGCTCAGTAGTTGTTGTTTGAGCAGTTGTTGTTGCTTCAGTTGTTGTTGTTGTTTCAGCTGTTGTGGTTGTAACTTCAGTTGTTGTTGTTGTTGTTTCAGCTGTTGTTGTTGTAGCTTCAGTTGTTGTTGTTGTAGCTTCTGTTGTTGTGGTTATAGCTTCAGTTGTTGTGGTTGTGGCTTCAGTTGTTGTGGTTGGAGCTTCAGTTGTTGTTGTAACTTCAGTTGTTGTAGTTGGAACTTCAGTTGTTGTGGTAGTGACTTCAGTTGTTGTGGTTGGAGCTTCAGTTGTTGTAGTTGAAGCTTCAGTTGTTGTGGTTGTGGCTTCAGTTGTTGTGGTTTGAGCTTCAGTTGTTGTTGTAATTTCAGCTGTTGTGGTTGTGGCTTCAGTTGTTGTATTTGGAGCTTCAGTTGTTGTTGTTGAAGCTTCAGTTGTTGTGGTTGTAGCTTCAGTTGTAGTGGTTGGAGGCTCAGTTGTTGTTGTTTCAGTTACTGTTGTTGAAGCTTCTGTTGTTGTTGTTGTTTCAGTTGTTGTGGTTGGAACTTCAGTTGTTGTGGTTGTAGTATTAGTAGTTGTTGTTGTATCTTCTGTTGTTGTGGTTATAGCTTCAGTTGTTGTAGTTGTGGCTTCAGTTGTTGTGGTTGGAGCTTCAGTTGTTGTTGTAACTTTAATTGTTGTGGTTGGAACTTCAGTTGTTTTGGAAGTGACTTCAGTTGTTGTGGTTGGAGCTTCTGTTGTTGTTGTTGAAGCCTCAGTTGTTGTGGTTGTGGTTTCAATTGTCGTGGTTGGAGCTGCAGTTGTTGTTGTAACTTCAGTTGATGTATTTGGAACTTCAGTTGTTGTGGTTGTGGCTTCAGTTGTTGTTGTAGCTATAGTTGTTGTGGTTGGAGCTTCCGTTGTTGTTGTTGAAGCTTCAGTTGTTGTGGTTGTGGCTTCAGTTGTTGTGGTTGAAGCTTCAGTTGTTGTTGTAACTTCAGTTGTTGTGGTTGTAGCTTCAGTTGTTGTACTTAGAGATTCAGTTGTTGTGGTTGTGGCTTCAGCTGTTGTTGTTGTAACTTCAGTTGTTGTGGTTGGAGGCTCAGTTGTTGTGGTTGAAGCTTCAGTTATTGTGGTTTCAGTTGTTGTGGTTGGAGCTTCAGTTGTTGATGTAACTTCAGTAGTTGTCGTTGTAGGCTCAGTTGTTGTTGTTTGAGCAGTTGTTGTTGCTTCAGTTGTTGTTGTTGTTTCAGCTGTTGTGGTTGTAACTTCAGTTGTTGTTGTTGTTGTTTCAGCTGTTGTTGTTGTAGCTTCAGTTGTTGTTGTTGTAGCTTCTGTTGTTGTGGTTATAGCTTCAGTTGTTGTGGTTGTGGCTTCAGTTGTTGTGGTTGGAGCTTTAGTTGTTGTTGTAACTTCAGTTGTTGAAGTTGGAACTTCAGTTGTTGTGGTAAGGACTTCAGTTGTTGTGGTTGGAGCTTCAGTTGTTGTAGTTGAAGCTTCAGTTGTTGTGGTTGTGGCTTCAGTTGTTGTGGTTGGAGCTTCAGTTGTTGTTGTTGAAGCTTCAGTTGTTGTGGTTGTGGCTTCAGTTGTAGTGGTTGGAGGCTCAGTTGTTGTTGTTTCAGTTACTGTTGTTGAAGCTTCTGTTGTTGTTGTTGTTTCAGTTGTTGTGGTTGGAACTTCAGTTGTTGTGGTTGTAGTTTTAGTTGTTGTTGTTGTAGCTTCTGTTGTTGTGGTTATAGCTTCAGTTGTTGTAGTTGTGGCTTCAGTTGTTGTGGTTGGAGCTTCAGTTGTTGTTGTAAATTCAATTGTTGTGGTTGGAACTTCAGTTGTTGTGGAAGTGACTTCAGTTGTTGTGGTTGGAGCTTCCGTTGTTGTTGTTGAAGCCTCAGTTGTTGTTGTTGTGGTTTCAATTGTTGTGGTTGGAGCTTGAGTTGTTGTTGTAACTTCAGTTGTTGTGGTTGGAACTTCAGTTGTTGTGGTTCTGGCTTCAGTTGTTGTTGTAGCTTCAGTTGTTGTGGTTGGAGCTTCCGTTGTTGTTGTTGAAGCTTCAGTTGTTGTGGTTGTGGCTTCAGTTGTTGTGGTTGCAGCTTCAGTTGTTGTTGTAACTTCAGTTGTTGTGGTTGTAGCTTCAGTTGTTGTACTTAGAGTTTCAGTTGTTGTGGTTGTGGCTTTAGCTGTTGTTGTTGTAACTTCAGTTGTTGTGGTTGGAGGCTCAGTTGTTGTGGTTGAAGCTTCAGTTATTGTGGTTGTGGTTTCAGTTGTTGTGGTTGGAGCTTCAGTTGTTGATGTAACTTCAGTAGTTGTCGTTGTAGGCTCAGTAGTTGTTGTTTGAGCAGTTGTTGTTGCTTCAGTTGTTGTTGTTGTTTCAGCTGTTGTGGTTGTAACTTCAGTTGTTGTTGTTGTTGTTTCAGCTGTTGTTGTTGTAGCTTCAGTTGTTGTTGTTGTAGCTTCTGTTGTTGTGGTTATAGCTTCAGTTGTTGTGGTTGTGGCTTCAGTTGTTGTGGTTGGAGCTTCAGTTGTTGTTGTAACTTCAGTTGTTGTAGTTGGAACTTCAGTTGTTGTGGTAGTGACTTCAGTTGTTGTGGTTGGAGCTTCATTTGTTGTAGTTGAAGCTTCAGTTGTTGTGGTTGTGGCTTCAGTTGTTGTGGTTTGAGCTTCAGTTGTTGTTGTAACTTCAGCTGTTGTGGTTGTGGCTTCAGTTGTTGTATTTGGAGCTTCAGTTGTTGTTGTTGAAGCTTCAGTTGTTGTGGTTGTAGCTTCAGTTGTAGTGGTTGGAGGCTCAGTTGTTGTTGTTTCAGTTACTGTTGTTGAAGCTTCTGTTGTTGTTGTTGTTTCAGTTGTTGTGGTTGGAACTTCAGTTGTTGTGGTTGTAGTATTAGTAGTTGTTGTTGTATCTTCTGTTGTTGTGGTTATAGCTTCAGTTGTTGTAGTTGTGGCTTCAGTTGTTGTGGTTGGAGCTTCAGTTGTTGTTGTAACTTCAATTGTTGTGGTTGGAACTTCAGTTGTTGTGGAAGTGACTTCAGTTGTTGTGGTTGGAGCTTCTGTTGTTGTTGTTGAAGCCTCAGTTGTTGTGGTTGTGGTTTCAATTGTCGTGGTTGGAGCTGCAGTTGTTGTTGTAACTTCAGTTGTTGTGGTTGGAACTTCAGTTGTTGTGGTTGTGGCTTCAGTTGTTGTTGTAGCTAAAGTTGTTGTGGTTGGAGCTTCCGTTGTTGTTGTTGAAGCTTCAGTTGTTGTGGTTGTGGCTTCAGTTGTTGTGGTTGAAGCTTCAGTTGTTGTTGTAACTTCAGTTGTTGTGGTTGTAGCCTCAGTTGTTGTACTTAGAGATTCAGTTGTTGTGGTTGTGGCTTCAGCTGTTGTTGTTGTAACTTCAGTTGTTGTGGTTGGAGGCTCAGTTGTTGTGGTTGAAGCTTTAGTTATTGTGGTTTCAGTTGTTGTGGTTGGAGCTTCAGTTGTTGATGTAACTTCAGTAGTTGTCGTTGTAGGCTCAGTAGTTGTTGTTTGAGCAGTTGTTGTTGCTTCAGTTGTTGTTGTTGTTTCAGCTGTTGTGGTTGTAACTTCAGTTGTTGTTGTTGTTGTTTCAGCTGTTGTTGTTGTAGCTTCAGTTGTTGTTGTTGTAGCTTCTGTTGTTGTGGTTATAGCTTCAGTTGTTGTGGTTGTGGCTTCAGTTGTTGTGGTTGGAGCTTCAGTTGTTGTTGTAACTTCAGTTGTTGTAGTTGGAACTTCAGTTGTTGTGGTAGTGACTTCAGTTGTTGTGGTTGGAGCTTCAGTTGTTGTAGTTGAAGCTTCAGTTGTTGTGGTTGTGGCTTCAGTTGTTGTGGTTGGAGCTTCAGTTGTTGTTGTAATTTCAGCTGTTGTGGTTGTGGCTTCAGTTGTTGTGGTTGGAGCTTCAGTTGTTGTTGTTGAAGCTTCAGTTGTTGTGGTTGTAGCTTCAGTTGTAGTGGTTGGAGGCTCAGTTGTTGTTGTTTCAGTTACTGTTGTTGAAGCTTCTGTTGTTGTTGTTGTTTCAGTTTTTGTGGTTGGAACTTCAGTTGTTGTGGTTGTAGTTTGAGTAGTTGTTGTTGTAGCTTCTGTTGTTGTGGTTATAGCTTCAGTTGTTGTAGTTGTGGCTTCAGTTGTTGTGGTTGGAGCTTCAGTTGTTGTTGTAAATTCAATTGTTGTGGTTGGAACTTCAGTTGTTGTGGAAGTGACTTCAGTTGTTGTGGTTGGAGCTTCCGTTGTTGTTGTTGAAGCCTCAGTTGTTGTGGTTGTGGTTTCAATTGTTGTGGTTGGAGCTTTAGTTGTTGTTGTAACTTCAGTTGTTGTGGTTGGAACTTCAGTTGTTGTGGTTCTGGCTTCAGTTGTTGTTGTAGCTTCAGTTGTTGTGGTTGGAGCTTTCGTTGTTGTTGTTGAAGCTTCAGTTGTTGTGGTTGTGGCTTCAGTTGTTGTGGTTGCAGCTTCAGTTGTTGTTGTAACTTCAGTTGTTGTGATTGTAGCTTCAGTTGTTGTACTTAGAGTTTCAGTTGTTGTGGTTGTGGCTTCAGCTGTTGTTGTTGTAACTTCAGTTGTTGTGGTTGGAGGCTCAGTTGTTGTGGTTGAAGCTTCAGTTATTGTGGTTGTGGTTTCAGTTGTTGTGGTTGGAGCTTCAGTAGTTGATGTAACTTCAGTAGTTGTCGTTTTAGGCTCAGTAGTTGTTGTTTGAGCAGTTGTTGTTGCTTCAGTTGTTGTTGTTGTTTCAGCTGTTGTTGTTGTAGCTTCAGTTGTTGTTGTTGTAGCTTCTGTTGTTGTGGTTATAGCTTCAGTTGTTGTGGTTGTGGCTTCCGTTGTTGTGGTTGGAGCTTCAGTTGTTGTTGTAACTTCAGTTGTTGTAGTTGGAACTTCAGTTGTTGTGGTAGTGACTTCAGTTGTTGTGGTTGGAGCTTCAGTTGTTGTAGTTGAAGCTTCAGTTGTTGTGGTTGTGGCTTCAGTTGTTGTGGTTTGAGCTTCAGTTGTTGTTGTAATTTCAGCTGTTGTGGTTGTGGCTTCAGTTGTTGTATTTGGAGCTTCATTTGTTGTTGTTGAAGCTTCAGTTGTTGTGGTTGTAGCTTCAGTTGTAGTGGTTGGACGCTCAGTTGTTGTTGTTTCAGTTACTGTTGTTGAAGCTTCTGTTGTTGTTGTTGTTTCAGTTGTTGTGGTTGGAACTTCAGTTGTTGTGGTTGTAGTATTAGTAGTTGTTGTTGTATCTTCTGTTGTTGTGGTTATAGCTTCAGTTGTTGTAGTTGTGGCTTCAGTTGTTGTGGTTGGAGCTTCAGTTGTTGTTGTAACTTCAATTGTTGTGGTTGGAACTTCAGTTGTTGTGGAAGTGACTTCAGTTGTTGTGGTTGGAGCTTCTGTTGTTGTTGTTGAAGCCTCAGTTGTTGTGGTTGTGGTTTCTGTTGTCGTGGTTGGAGCTGCAGTTGTTGTTGTAACTTCAGTTGTTGTGGTTGGAACTTCAGTTGTTGTGGTTGTGGCTTCAGTTGTTGTTGTAGCTATAGTTGTTGTGGTTGGAGCTTCCGTTGTTGTTGTTGAAGCTTCAGTTGTTGTGGTTGTGGCTTCAGTTATTGTGGTTGAAGCTTCAGTTGTTGTTGTAACTTCAGTTGTTGTGGTTGTAGCTTCAGTTGTTGTACTTAGAGATTCAGTTGTTGTGGTTGTGGCTTCAGCTGTTGTTGTTGTAACTTCAGTTGTTGTGGTTGGAGGCTCAGTTGTTGTGGTTGAAGCTTCAGTTATTGTGGTTTCAGTTGTTGTGGTTGGAGCTTTAGTTGTTGATGTAACTTCAGTAGTTGTCGTTGTAGGCTCAGTAGTTGTTGTTTGAGCAGTTGTTGTTGCTTCAGTTGTTGTTGTTGTTTCAGCTGTTATGGTTGTAACTTCAGTTGTTGTTGTTGTTGTTTCAGCTGTTGTTGTTGTAGCTTCAGTTGTTGTTGTTGTAGCTTCTGTTGTTGTGGTTATAGCTTCAGTTGTTGTGGTTGTGGCTTCAGTTGTTGTGGTTGGAGCTTCAGTTGTTGTTGTAACTTCAGTTGTTGTAGTTGGAACTTCAGTTGTTGTGGTAGTGACTTCAGTTGTTGTGGTTGGAGTTTCAGTTGTTGTAGTTGAAGCTTCAGTTGTTTTGGTTGTGGCTTCAGTTGTTGTGGTTTGAGCTTCAGTTGTTGTTGTAATTTCAGCTGTTGTGGTTGTGGCTTCAGTTGTTGTATTTGAAGCTTCAGTTGTTGTTGTTGAAGCTTCAGTTGTTGTGGTTGTAGCTTCAGTTGTAGTGGTTGGAGGCTCAGTTGTTGTTGTTTCAGTTACTGTTGTTGAAGCTTCTGTTGTTGTTGTTGTTTCAGTTGTTGTGGTTGGAACTTCAGTTGTTGTGGTTGTAGTTTTAGTTGTTGTTGTTGTAGCTTCTGTTGTTGTGGTTATAGCTTCAGTTGTTGTAGTTGTGGCTTCAGTTGTTGTGGTTGGAGCTTCAGTTGTTGTTGTAAATTCAGTTGTTGTGGTTGGAACTTCAGTTGTTGTGGAAGTGACTTCAGTTGTTGTGGTTGGAGCTTCCGTTGTTGTTGTTGAAGCCTCAGTTGTTGTTGTTGTGGTTTCAATTGTTGTGGTTGGAGCTTGAGTTGTTGTTGTAACTTCAGTTGTTGTGGTTGGAACTTCAGTTGTTGTGGTTCTGGCTTCAGTTGTTGTTGTAGCTTCAGTTGTTGTGGTTGGAGCTTCCGTTGTTGTTGTTGAAGCTTCAGTTGTTGTGGTTGTGGCTTCAGTTGTTGTGGTTGCAGCTTCAGTTGTTGTTGTAACTTCAGTTGTTGTGGTTGTAGCTTCAGTTGTTGTACTTAGAGTTTCAGTTGTTGTGGTTGTGGCTTTAGCTGTTGTTGTTGTAACTTCAGTTGTTGTGGTTGGAGGCTCAGTTGTTGTGGTTGAAGCTTCAGTTATTGTGGTTGTGGTTTCAGTTGTTGTGGTTGGAGCTTCAGTTGTTGATGTAACTTCAGTAGTTGTCGTTGTAGGCTCAGTAGTTGTTGTTTGAGCAGTTGTTGTTGCTTCAGTTGTTGTTGTTGTTTCAGCTGTTGTGGTTGTAACTTCAGTTGTTGTTGTTGTTGTTTCAGCTGTTGTTGTTGTAGCTTCAGTTGTTGTTGTTGTAGCTTCTGTTGTTGTGGTTATAGCTTCAGTTGTTGTGGTTGTGGCTTCAGTTGTTGTGGTTGGAGCTTCAGTTGTTGTTGTAACTTCAGTTGTTGTAGTTGGAACTTCAGTTGTTGTGGTAGTGACTTCAGTTGTTGTGGTTGGAGCTTCAGTTGTTGTAGTTGAAGCTTCAGTTGTTGTGGTTGTGGCTTCAGTTGATGTGGTTTGAGCTTCAGTTGTTGTTGTAATTTCAGCTGTTGTGGTTGTGGCTTCAGTTGTTGTATTTGGAGCTTCAGTTGTTGTTGTTGAAGCTTCAGTTGTTGTGGTTGTAGCTTCAGTTGTAGTGGTTGGAGGCTCAGTTGTTGTTGTTTCAGTTACTGTTGTTGAAGCTTCTGTTGTTGTTGTTGTTTCAGTTGTTGTGGTTGGAACTTCAGTTGTTGTGGTTGTAGTATTAGTAGTTGTTGTTGTATCTTCTGTTGTTGTGGTTATAGCTTCAGTTGTTGTAGTTGTGGCTTCAGTTGTTGTGGTTGGAGCTTCAGTTGTTGTTGTAACTTCAATTGTTGTGGTTGGAACTTCAGTTGTTGTGGAAGTGACTTCAGTTGTTGTGGTTGGAGCTTCTGTTGTTGTTGTTGAAGCCTCAGTTGTTGTGGTTGTGGTTTCAATTGTCGTGGTTGGAGCTGCAGTTGTTGTTGTAACTTCAGTTGTTGTGGTTGGAACTTCAGTTGTTGTGGTTGTGGCTTCAGTTGTTGTTGTAGCTAAAGTTGTTGTGGTTGGAGCTTCCGTTGTTGTTGTTGAAGCTTCAGTTGTTGTGGTTGTGGCTTCAGTTGTTGTGGTTGAAGCTTCAGTTGTTGTTGTAACTTCAGTTGTTGTGGTTGTAGCCTCAGTTGTTGTACTTAGAGATTCAGTTGTTGTGGTTGTGGCTTCAGCTGTTGTTGTTGTAACTTCAGTTGTTGTGGTTGGAGGCTCAGTTGTTGTGGTTGAAGCTTTAGTTATTGTGGTTTCAGTTGTTGTGGTTGGAGCTTCAGTTGTTAATGTAACTTCAGTAGTTGTCGTTGTAGGCTCAGTAGTTGTTGTTTGAGCAGTTGTTGTTGCTTCAGTTGTTGTTGTTGTTTCAGCTGTTGTGGTTGTAACTTCAGTTGTTGTTGTTGTTGTTTCAGCTGTTGTTGTTGTAGCTTCAGTTGTTGTTGTTGTAGCTTCTGTTGTTGTGGTTATAGCTTCAGTTGTTGTGGTTGTGGCTTCAGTTGTTGTGGTTGGAGCTTCAGTTGTTGTTGTAACTTCAGTTGTTGTAGTTGGAACTTCAGTTGTTGTGGTAGTGACTTCAGTTGTTGTGGTTGGAGCTTCAGTTGTTGTAGTTGAAGCTTCAGTTGTTGTGGTTGTGGCTTCAGTTGTTGTGGTTGGAGCTTCAGTTGTTGTTGTAATTTCAGCTGTTGTGGTTGTGGCTTCAGTTGTTGTGGTTGGAGCTTCAGTTGTTGTTGTTGAAGCTTCAGTTGTTGTGGTTGTAGCTTCAGTTGTAGTGGTTGGAGGCTCAGTTGTTGTTGTTTCAGTTACTGTTGTTGAAGCTTCTGTTGTTGTTGTTGTTTCAGTTGTTGTGGTTGGAACTTCAGTTGTTGTGGTTGTAGTTTGAGTAGTTGTTGTTGTAGCTTCTGTTGTTGTGGTTATAGCTTCAGTTGTTGTAGTTGTGGCTTCAGTTGTTGTGGTTGGAGCTTCAGTTGTTGTTGTAAATTCAATTGTTGTGGTTGGAACTTCAGTTGTTGTGGAAGTGACTTCAGTTGTTGTGGTTGGAGCTTCCGTTGTTGTTGTTGAAGCCTCAGTTGTTGTGGTTGTGGTTTCAATTGTTGTGGTTGGAGCTTTAGTTGTTGTTGTAACTTCAGTTGTTGTGGTTGGAACTTCAGTTGTTGTGGTTCTGGCTTCAGTTGTTGTTGTAGCTTCAGTTGTTGTGGTTGGAGCTTCCGTTGTTGTTGTTGAAGCTTCAGTTGTTGTGGTTGTGGCTTCAGTTGTTGTGGTTGCAGCTTCAGTTGTTGTTGTAACTTCAGTTGTTGTGATTGTAGCTTCAGTTGTTGTACTTAGAGTTTCAGTTGTTGTGGTTGTGGCTTCAGCTGTTGTTGTTGTAACTTCAGTTGTTGTGGTTGGAGGCTCAGTCGTTGTGGTTGAAGCTTCAGTTATTGTGGTTGTGGTTTCAGTTGTTGTGGTTGGAGCTTCAGTAGTTGATGTAACTTCAGTAGTTGTCGTTGTAGGCTCAGTAGTTGTTGTTTGAGCAGTTGTTGTTGCTTCAGTTGTTGTTGTTGTTTCAGCTGTTGTTGTTGTAGCTTCAGTTGTTGTTGTTGTAGCTTCTGTTGTTGTGGTTATAGCTTCAGTTGTTGTGGTTGTGGCTTCCGTTGTTGTGGTTGGAGCTTCAGTTGTTGTTGTAACTTCAGTTGTTGTAGTTGGAACTTCAGTTGTTGTGGTAGTGACTTCAGTTGTTGTGGTTGGAGCTTCAGTTGTTGTAGTTGAAGCTTCAGTTGTTGTGGTTGTGGCTTCAGTTGTTGTGGTTTGAGCTTCAGTTGTTGTTGTAATTTCAGCTGTTGTGGTTGTGGCTTCAGTTGTTGTATTTGGAGCTTCATTTGTTGTTGTTGAAGCTTCAGTTGTTGTGGTTGTAGCTTCAGTTGTAGTGGTTGGACGCTCAGTTGTTGTTGTTTCAGTTACTGTTGTTGAAGCTTCTGTTGTTGTTGTTGTTTCAGTTGTTGTGGTTGGAACTTCAGTTGTTGTGGTTGTAGTATTAGTAGTTGTTGTTGTATCTTCTGTTGTTGTGGTTATAGCTTCAGTTGTTGTAGTTGTGGCTTCAGTTGTTGTGGTTGGAGCTTCAGTTGTTGTTGTAACTTCAATTGTTGTGGTTGGAACTTCAGTTGTTGTGGAAGTGACTTCAGTTGTTGTGGTTGGAGCTTCTGTTGTTGTTGTTGAAGCCTCAGTTGTTGTGGTTGTGGTTTCTGTTGTCGTGGTTGGAGCTGCAGTTGTTGTTGTAACTTCAGTTGTTGTGGTTGGAACTTCAGTTGTTGTGGTTGTGGCTTCAGTTGTTGTTGTAGCTATAGTTGTTGTGGTTGGAGCTTCCGTTGTTGTTGTTGAAGCTTCAGTTGTTGTGGTTGTGGCTTCAGTTATTGTGGTTGAAGCTTTAGTTGTTGTTGTAACTTCAGTTGTTGTGGTTGTAGCTTCAGTTGTTGTACTTAGAGATTCAGTTGTTGTGGTTGTGGCTTCAGCTGTTGTTGTTGTAACTTCAGTTGTTGTGGTTGGAGGCTCAGTTGTTGTGGTTGAAGCTTCAGTTATTGTGGTTTCAGTTGTTGTGGTTGGAGCTTAAGTTGTTGATGTAACTTCAGTAGTTGTCGTTGTAGGCTCAGTAGTTGTTGTTTGAGCAGTTGTTGTTGCTTCAGTTGTTGTTGTTGTTTCAGCTGTTATGGTTGTAACTTCAGTTGTTGTTGTTGTTGTTTCAGCTGTTGTTGTTGTAGCTTCAGTTGTTGTTGTTGTAGCTTCTGTTGTTGTGGTTATAGCTTCAGTTGTTGTGGTTGTGGCTTCAGTTGTTGTGGTTGGAGCTTCAGTTGTTGTTGTAACTTCAGTTGTTGTAGTTGGAACTTCAGTTGTTGTGGTAGTGACTTCAGTTGTTGTGGTTGGAGCTTCAGTTGTTGTAGTTGAAGCTTCAGTTGTTGTGGTTGTGGCTTCAGTTGTTGTGGTTTGAGCTTCAGTTGTTGTTGTAATTTCAGCTGTTGTGGTTGTGGCTTCAGTTGTTGTATTTGGAGCTTCAGTTGTTGTTGTTGAAGCTTCAGTTGTTGTGGTTGTAGCTTCAGTTGTAGTGGTTGGAGGCTCAGTTGTTGTTGTTTCAGTTACTGTTGTTGAAGCTTCTGTTGTTGTTGTTGTTTCAGTTGTTGTGGTTGGAACTTCAGTTGTTGTGGTTGTAGTATTAGTAGTCGTTGTTGTATCTTCTGTTGTTGTGGTTATAGCTTCAGTTGTTGTAGTTGTGGCTTCAGTTGTTGTGGTTGGAGCTTCAGTTGTTGTTGTAACTTCAATTGTTGTGGTTGGAACTTCAGTTGTTGTGGAAGTGACTTCAGTAGTTGTGGTTGGAGCTTCTGTTGTTGTTGTTGAAGCCTCAGTTGTTGTGGTTGTGGTTTCAATTGTCGTGGTTGGAGCTGCAGTTGTTGTTGTAACTTCAGTTGTTGTATTTGGAACTTCAGTTGTTGTGGTTGTGGCTTCAGTTGTTGTTGTAGCTATAGTTGTTGTGGTTGGAGCTTCCGTTGTTGTTGTTGAAGCTTCAGTTGTTGTGGTTGTGGCTTCAGTTGTTGTGGTTGAAGCTTCAGTTGTTGTTGTAACTTCAGTTGTTGTGGTTGTAGCTTCAGTTGTTGTACTTAGAGATTCAGTTGTTGTGGTTGTGGCTTCAGCTGTTGTTGTTGTAACTTCAGTTGTTGTGGTTGGAGGCTCAGTTGTTGTGGTTGAAGCTTCAGTTATTGTGGTTTCAGTTGTTGTGGTTGGAGCTTCAGTTGTTGATGTAACTTCAGTAGTTGTCGTTGTAGGCTCAGTAGTTGTTGTTTGAGCAGTTGTTGTTGCTTCAGTTGTTGTTGTTGTTTCAGCTGTTGTGGTTGTAACTTCAGTTGTTGTTGTTGTTGTTTCAGCTGTTGTTGTTGTAGCTTCAGTTGTTGTTGTTGTAGCTTCTGTTGTTGTGGTTATAGCTTCAGTTGTTGTGGTTGTGGCTTCAGTTGTTGTGGTTGGAGCTTCAGTTGTTGTTGTAACTTCAGTTGTTGTAGTTGGAACTTCAGTTGTTGTGGTAGTGACTTCAGTTGTTGTGGTTGGAGCTTCAGTTGTTGTAGTTGAAGCTTCAGTTGTTGTGGTTGTGGCTTCAGTTGTTGTGGTTTGAGCTTCAGTTGTTGTTGTAATTTCAGCTGTTGTGGTTGTGGCTTCAGTTGTTGTATTTGGAGCTTCAGTTGTTGTTGTTGAAGCTTCAGTTGTTGTGGTTGTAGCTTCAGTTGTAGTGGTTGGAGGCTCAGTTGTTGTTGTTTCAGTTACTGTTGTTGAAGCTTCTGTTGTTGTTGTTGTTTCAGTTGTTGTGGTTGGAACTTCAGTTGTTGTGGTTGTAGTATTAGTAGTTGTTGTTGTATCTTCTGTTGTTGTGGTTATAGCTTCAGTTGTTGTAGTTGTGGCTTCAGTTGTTGTGGTTGGAGCTTCAGTTGTTGTTGTAACTTCAATTGTTGTGGTTGGAACTTCAGTTGTTGTGGAAGTGACTTCAGTTGTTGTGGTTGGAGCTTCTGTTGTTGTTGTTGAAGCCTCAGTTGTTGTGGTTGTGGTTTCAATTGTCGTGGTTGGAGCTGCAGTTGTTGTTGTAACTTCAGTTGTTGTGGTTGGAACTTCAGTTGTTGTGGTTGTGGCTTCAGTTGTTGTTGTAGCTAAAGTTGTTGTGGTTGGAGCTTCCGTTGTTGTTGTTGAAGCTTCAGTTGTTGTGGTTGTGGCTTCAGTTGTTGTGGTTGAAGCTTCAGTTGTTGTTGTAACTTCAGTTGTTGTGGTTGTAGCCTCAGTTGTTGTACTTAGAGATTCAGTTGTTGTGGTTGTGGCTTCAGCTGTTGTTGTTGTAACTTCAGTTGTTGTGGTTGGAGGCTCAGTTGTTGTGGTTGAAGCTTTAGTTATTGTGGTTTCAGTTGTTGTGGATGGAGCTTCAGTTGTTGATGTAACTTCAGTAGTTGTCGTTGTAGGCTCAGTAGTTGTTGTTTGAGCAGTTGTTGTTGCTTCAGTTGTTGTTGTTGTTTCAGCTGTTGTGGTTGTAACTTCAGTTGTTGTTGTTGTTGTTTCAGCTGTTGTTGTTGTAGCTTCAGTTGTTGTTGTTGTAGCTTCTGTTGTTGTGGTTATAGCTTCAGTTGTTGTGGTTGTGGCTTCAGTTGTTGTGGTTGGAGCTTCAGTTGTTGTTGTAACTTCAGTTGTTGTAGTTGGAACTTCAGTTGTTGTGGTAGTGACTTCAGTTGTTGTGGTTGGAGCTTCAGTTGTTGTAGTTGAAGCTTCAGTTGTTGTGGTTGTGGCTTCAGTTGTTGTGGTTGGAGCTTCAGTTGTTGTTGTAATTTCAGCTGTTGTGGTTGTGGCTTCAGTTGTTGTGGTTGGAGCTTCAGTTGTTGTTGTTGAAGCTTCAGTTGTTGTGGTTGTAGCTTCAGTTGTAGTGGTTGGAGGCTCAGTTGTTGTTGTTTCAGTTACTGTTGTTGAAGCTTCTGTTGTTGTGGTTATCGCTTCAGTTGTTGTAGTTGGAACTTCAGTTGTTGTGGTAGTGACTTCAGTTGTTGTGGTTGGAGCTTCAGTTGTTGTAGTTGAAGCTTCAGTTGTTGTGGTTGTGGCTTCAGTTGTTGTGGTTGGAGCTTCAGTTGTTGTTGTAACTTCAGTTGTTGTAGTTGGAACTTCAGTTGTTGTGGTAGTGACTTCAGTTGTTGTGGTTGGAGCTTCAGTTGTTGTTGTTGAAGCTTCAGTTGTTGTGGTTGTAGCTTCAGTTGTAGTGGTTGGAGGCTCAGTTGTTGTTGTTTCAGTTACTGTTGTTGAAGCTTCTGTTGTTGTTGTTGTTTCAGTTGTTGTGGTTGGAACTTCAGTTGTTGTTGTTGTTGTTTCAGCTGTTGTTGTTGTAGCTTCAGTTGTTGTTGTTGTAGCTTCTGTTGTTGTGGTTATAGCTTCAGTTGTTGTGGTTGTGGCTTCAGTTGTTGTGGTTGGAGCTTCAGTTGTTGTTGTAACTTCAGTTGTTGTAGTTGGAACTTCAGTTGTTGTGGTAGTGACTTCAGTTGTTGTGGTTGGAGCTTCAGTTGTTGTAGTTGAAGCTTCAGTTGTTGTGGTTGTGGCTTCAGTTGTTGTGGTTGGAGCTTCAGTTGTTGTTGTAATTTCAGCTGTTGTGGTTGTGGCTTCAGTTGTTGTGGTTGGAGTTTCAGTTGTTGTTGTTGAAGCTTCAGTTGTTGTGGTTGTAGCTTCAGTTGTAGTGGTTGGAGGCTCAGTTGTTGTTGTTTCAGTTACTGTTGTTGAAGCTTCTGTTGTTGTGGTTATCGCTTCAGTTGTTGTAGTTGGAACTTCAGTTGTTGTGGTAGTGACTTCAGTTGTTGTGGTTTGAGCTTCAGTTGTTGTAGTTGAAGCTTCAGTTGTTGTGGTTGTGGCTTCAGTTGTTGTGGTTGGAGCTTCAGTTGTTGTTGTAACTTCAGTTGTTGTAGTTGGAACTTCAGTTGTTGTGGTAGTGACTTCAGTTGTTGTGGTTGGAGCTTCAGTTGTTGTTGTTGAAGCTTCAGTTGTTGTGGTTGTAGCTTCAGTTGTAGTGGTTGGAGGCTCAGTTGTTGTTGTTTCAGTTACTGTTGTTGAAGCTTCTGTTGTTGTTGTTGTTTCAGTTGTTGTGATTGGAACTTCAGTTGTTGTGGTTGTAGTTTTAGTAGTTGTTGTTGTAGCTTCTGTTGTTGTGGTTATAGCTTCAGTTGTTGTAGTTGTGGCTTCAGTTGTTGTGGTTGGAGCTTCAGTTGTTGTTGTTTCAGCTGTTGTTGTGCCTTCAGTTGTTGTTGTTATGGCTTCAGTTGTTGTGGTTGAAGTTTTAGTTGTTGTTGTTGCTCCAGTAGTTATAGTTGGAGGTTCAGTTGTAGTTGTTGCTTCAGCTGTTAAAACATCAGAAATTCAAATTATCTTTTAAATTTTAAATATCTTTTTACATCACCAGACTTAGCTAATATTTTAGCAGACATAGCATTTTATTTTTTAAAGTTTAATTTAATTGCTAGGTGTTTGTGCAGCAAACTTAACATTCATTTTGTGACGCTGGAAATAAATATGTTTTATTAAGATTTTATTTGCAAATTTGAATCCTTCTTCTTCTTGTATTTTATATAAAGCTTTTATATAACTTCATTTAATGTATTTTTCATTTTCCTTAAGTATTTATTTTCCACAATCCTTAAGTACCTCTCAATCACATAACGCATTTCTAGCTAATTTTAGCATATGACTTGAGTCAGGGATTACATACAAGTAGTTATTATAGCCTTTAAATGTGGTAATGCGGTAGTGATGTGGAACAAGTGGTTCCGAGTTTAATTCCCACCGCGTCCCTGGTAGTACAGCGCTCAAATCTTTTCTTCGTGCAGCGGCCTTATTCATCAAGGTTCCTGTTTCGGAGTTATAGAGTTGAGAGTGGGTTATAACCACAAATAAGTAGCCTCCTCGTCCGCAGTGGCCTTTTTGACCTTGAGGTGAATTAAGTTTCAAAAAAAAAAAAAAAAATCTTTCATAAATTTTTTCTAGTCTTTTGCCAAATGCACATACTAGTGATGCAACAGAATTAAAGTTAACATTTACACCATCAAATGTAATGCTACGTACATTAATTTTTTATATCAGAAAAAATTGATAATGTTTTTTTGACATGAAAGGTTTTTAGCTGTTATTATACTACACAGTATATAGTCGATAGGTGTTTTCCAATGACCTCGTAATCCTACCAGCATAAATACCAATGCTTCTGTAGCTGGTTCAATTGCAACAATATCTTTTCCATAATCTGTAAAGCTAATGAATCGACCTGATTCATTGGCTTTACAGATTATGGACCTAATGCACAATCTTTATAATTAATGTCAGTCTCTGCTTTTATACTAATATAACTTAAAACATCTTCAAAAAAACCAGGTTCACAATATACGGAAGAAGTTCAGTTGGCTAAAGAGCTTGAAGCAGGTAAATGGAGTATAGGCCGTAGAAAATTTAATGCTTTTGGTGAGTAATAACGCAGAGTTGTTGCAAATTTTTTAATTTCATCAGAATACTTATGTCCATCAGTATACCTATACCCAAAGAACATTAGCAGCATCTTCAGAAACAATTTTTTTTTTGCTTAGATTTTTTAGCATAACCTTTAAGGAATTTAATTTTTTTCTTTTCGTCGCAACTTTTGTTTAAGAATTTTAATTCTTGGTTTTAATTTTGCTTTAGCTAGAATTGCATTTGTCGATAATGTACTTTTAGAAACAATAGTATCATCATTAATAATTTTTTTACTACTTTTGATAATATTAAAGCTACTATTTATATCCACCTGTCAATCAATACTCTCTGTTCTTTCTAAAATAACACTATTAATATAAATTTCATTACTATTAGCAGCAACATTATTGTTATCACTTATATCTAAATGGAAATCAATGTGATGGTGACTGCCTGTTTCTGAAACTTTTTTAATGAGTTTTTTTGTTTTTTGTTTGTGGCAATATAAAAGTATACTTTCTTTTGACTTTTGGTTTTAAATCAATAATAATAGATGGCACAGAAAAAGTTTTTTTATTTAGGTTTGCTATTAAAATCAGGTATATTGTAATCTGAAGGTAAAAAGTAATTACTACATATGCGGCTGTGCTTAGAAGGAATAAATGTTTCATGTTTTATAGCAACAATCCACTTTTTACAGAGTTATTATTTGGAAATTTATGAAATGCTCTATTGCAGTTTTTCATTGCTCTATTTGTGCAACCTGCTGCAGCACAAGAACTAACAATGATTTATAAATTTAGAATATTATTTTAGAATATTGAGAATATTCAGAATATAAATATAGAATATTCAGAATATAAATTTAGAATATTGAATATTACTTGATCCAAACAACCCTGATTTACTATTTTTAAAGTTTGCCCTTCATAATGATCAATTTTTGCTTCAAAAAATATGCGGAAGTTAGACATCTAGTTATTTTTAATATATCATTGAATCACATACACACAATATATATATATATATATATATATATATATATATATATATATATATATATATATATATATATATATATATATATATATCATATATATATATATATATATATATATATATATATATATATATATTACAAATTAATATAAAAACATTTGTTTAATGTTTTGATGTAATTTATTTCACTTAAGGTATAATTCAGAATGTTATTCATTCAGCGCTTTTTTACAATGTTTTTTGAAATAGCAGCAATCAAATCATCAAAGCAAAAAGTAATTTGCCTGGTCATATAAAGATGTGCAATTGCACATTTTCCTGTGAAAGACTGCTATATGTACAATTATATATAGGCATTGATATTACAAGCAAGCAAAAAAAAAAATTGAAGTCAAATAGTTAACTCAAATGAAGATGAATTTTTTATCAGTTATTTTATCAATTAAATTAGTTAGTTAATTGAAATTACACAAAGCCACAGCCTTGTTAAACTCATCATCAGCTAAGTATATGCATCTATACCCAACTCGTATTTCAGCCACTTTTGTGTGGCATTTACGGTAAATGATGAGTTGTAGCAACTATGATGACTGAAAACTGTCTAGTAGTTGTTTAAATTTATCAAGTGATGTTGCCTCAATGACATTATCTGGCAAAGCATTCCAGTCATTGACTACACGATTGTTAAAAAACTCATGTCGGATTTCGCAGTTCCTGACAATCTCGCGATGAAATCTGATTCGATGTTGAGCTCTAGGTGCTATGCCAGACATTACTGCCAATCAATTAGGTTTAAATTGTTGAGAAGCTTATATTTTTGAATAAGATCGCCTCTTTTCCATCTGTCTTCAAGAGTAGTTAATTTCATGATTTTACATCAAGTTTTGTAGTCTTTATTTTTCAAAGCGTGAGGAACTTTCGTTGCGTTTCGTTGTACTTTTTCAATTTTTTCATGTCACTATCAAGGTAAGGGTTCCAGGCTTGTATGGCAAACTCCAGATGTGGTCTAATATATGCAGTATAAATTTTTTTCCAAATTTCAATGTCTCTTGATACAAACGTGTGTTTAAGAATTCCAAGCATATTATTTTCTTTGTTTGCAGCTATTTTGCACTGTTGAGCATATTTAAGATTTTCGGAGATTAGAATTCCAAGATCTTTTTCAGAATTTGTGACTTCTAAAACTACTCTATTGGTTGTACCATCATTTTTGATTTCATCCATAATGTAATCAAATTTTATTGTTCCAGAATTTACATGCATAACTTTACATTTTTTTACATTTAACTCCATTAGCCAGGTTTGCGTCCATTTAACAATCTCGCCTAGATCGGATTGTAAACCTGCTCGATCTTCATCATTTTCAACAACTTTCATGAGCTTTGATGATTTGACATGAATTGGCAGGTCATTAACAAATATGCCAAAGTGCATTGGTCCTAACACAGAACCTTGGGGAACCCCGCTAGTTACATCAATCCAGTCAGATTTTGTTTCTCCAAGTATAATACGCTGCTTGCGGTTTGTTAAAGGCTTTTATCCAGTTTAGAAGATTGCCATTTATACCATACATTTCAAGCTTTTGTAGCAATCTTACATGCAAAACTTTATCAAACGCCTTTGCAAAGTCAAGAAAAATTAGATCGACTGGTTTTTTCTTTGATTTGCTAAAAGTCAAAAAGTCCATTGTTTCTAAAATATTTGTGATGCAAGTCTTTTTTGAAACGAAACCATGTTGAGTTTTGGAAAGCAATTTGTTATTTACCAAATGATTAATTATTACTTGTCTAACTATTTTTTCCATAAGTTTGCATGGAACAGAAGTGAGCGATATAGGCCTGTAATTGGCTGGATCTGTTCTGCTACCATTTTTATAAATAGGTGTAACATTAGCTCTGAGCCAAGATAGTGGAATCTTTCCAGATTTTATTGAAAGTTGAAAAATCAAAGTTAGCGGAACTGCCATTAATGTGGCACATGCTTTTAAAACAAATGGACTAATGTTATCATCACCCATTGACTTATTTCCATCAAGCATATTTAGGTGTTTGAGAACAATGTTTTGGTCAATTATTATATCCGAAGTTAAAACACTTGTTTTGGATGCAAAAAGTTTTAGTGGCTGGGTCAGTGGTTCCTTTGTAAAAACTGATTGAAATTGGTTGTTGAGAATGTTTGCTTTTGTTATTCCATCACTGCTCATTTGGTTTGAGTCTGAGATTAAGGCTGATATTTGATTGCTCACTATCCCTTTACTATTAGTATATGCAAATTGTCTTTTTGGATTGTGCTTGTCGTTAACTAGCTCTGACTCATAGACACATACTGCTCGCTTGCTATTTTTTCGACCTCCTTTTTGACAGCTGTATACTCTGTGATGTGCGCTGCATTTTTCCACTTTGAGTTAGCATTTTTGTACCAGAGCTCTTTTTTTAGTCTAATTACCTTCATTAACTTGCTTGTGATCCAGGGTTGCCTTTTTTTGGCAGTATTTTTTGATGCCTTTGGAATAAACTTATGGCATGCTTCATTATAGAGGTTAGACCATATGGAATAACATTTCTCAACATCATAATCCATAAATCTAGCTTGGCAATTTATGTTATTTATAAAAGTGTTTATTTCATCATATTTACCATATTTATAAAGGAATTTTTTGCTGTTAAAACTATTTTGATTACTACTGCTTAAATTATGCTGCCAGCTAAGAGATATATGCCTTTGAGAGGCTGTACCAAGACAAAGTCCTGTTAAAACTTTGTTGATTCTATCTTTTGATTCTGATATAATTAGATCAAGTGTGTTGCTAAGATTTCCATCAGTTTTTATAAAAGTTGGACATTTGACATGCTGGTAGAGGTGGTTGTCACAAAGAGCATCATTGAACCTGTATTCAATA